AATTTTGTATGTTTAAATATCATCACTAATAAGATTATTACTCGTTTGAATGAATTTTCTTCCCCATTCATACATGCGAGAACATAATATGTAATCAACAATGCTGAAAATCACCAACTTCATTCACCAAAACACGTTCACGCGCTTAGTGATCTGTTCATTGTATGTGTAATTATCTTACTTGTATAATTTAGGCTTATTTTTTTATCACACTCCCTGTAATTCAATTTCGATCCCACTTTACCATTTGAAACTCAAAAGTTACCACTTTACTCTTTGGAACTTAATTTTGATCCCACTTTGTCCATTGAAAATTAAAAGTCGTCAATTTACTCTCTGAAACTAGATTTTGATCTTACTTTGCTTTCTGAAACTCAAAGATCGTCACCTTATTCCCTGAAATTCAAAATTCATTTTACATTGCCTTGTTTTTATTTTTTTAAATAAGTTCATCCCTTCACAATTTATAATTAGTAAGATGCCAAATTTCACCTTGAAATAAATGCATAGTAAAAAAGAACAAAAAAAAAAAAAAAAAACCATTGTATCTCTTTCACCAGCCACCGCCATTAAAAACATACGAAGAAGGTGTTTTTTTTTTTGGGGGGGGGGTAATTAAAAAAAAACCAAAAGTGGAGTGCATATTAAGTTTCAATAAGTAAAATAACAACTTTTGAATTTCAGCGCGTAAAATGGGATCAAAATCAATTTCAGGGTATAAAGTAGCACTTTTTGAGTTTCAAGAAGTAAAATGAGATCAAGATCGAGTTTCATGGAATAAAGTAGTAGCTTCTGAGTTTCAGGGGGCAAAATGAAATTGAAATTGAATTTCAGGAGCGTAACAATAAATAAGCCTATAATTTAAATAGAAAACTAAATTTTCATTCTTAAATAAGATGAAGTTTAGAAAAATGTCTTATACAAGATTAAATATTGATTTTAGTCCCTTAGATTCTATTTAATGTCATCATATGCATTCAATTTCTTTTTATATTTATAATTTTATGGTGTCCATGAATTACATTTTATGTAAAATATTGTAAATTTTAATTTCATTTGAAATTAAAATGAATTAGCCTTATTTGTTGACATTTTCCATCACCAATTTATTGTAAGTATCTTATATAATAAAGAAATAATTTTGGTACAAACTTTTCGATACACTTATGTTTTTGCATATTTTCTTATGTGCCATTAATTCATTACAATATATTTAGGTACGGACATTTTGGTACATTAGTTTTAGTATAATATGTTTAGGTACGGATATTTCGGTACACTAGATTGGTATAATATATTTAGGTACGGACATTTCGATACACTAATTTAGTGTAATATATTTAGGTACATACTTTTCGGTACACCTATGTTTTTGCATATTTTCTTATATGCCACTATTCATTAAAATATATTTATGTCACGCCCCGATCTCGACATACGTCCAGGATCAACACGTGACGCCACCAAATACTCGTATATCTAACATACCCCGCCTCCGAGATATGAATAAATCACCATTCAAGGTCCAAATTGCATAGTAATTTCCAAATATTTTATGGCTGCATCTAACCTCCTCGTTAGACTGCTTACGTATCCTCAACAGGGATCAAGCCCTTCGTAGTTCACCATTTCACTATACTCGAACATTTATCACATAAGTCGTTATGTCCCAACAAAATATCACAATGTATAGCATGCAATCCTTCAAAGAACAAACGACGAAGCACAATCATATTCTCTCGCCATATTTATCAACAAGTCTAGTCATAACCATAACAATGATATCCAACATAATAATCCTATAAGACGAATAACATTTCCACTTCATCCATCACATAAATCATCACGTTCCCACATGAAATCACAATTCATAGCGTGTAACATATTAAAGAATTGACATAGCACCTTATTATTCTCTAGAAATATTAATCAACTAACATAATCATAATAACAACACTCATATCCAACGTCATTCCACAATCCCGTCAATTAATCAATATGTGAATCAAGATGCACAATCTTAGCATTTAATTACGTTAATCAAGCAGTGCGATAACAAAACATCTCACGAATTAACCAAGGAACTCTATACAATTCCCCACTTGGATTAGGAGTAATAAACATGGTAATTCCAATTTATATTCACAATATCTATTGTGGGTAATTCACATCCACTCGAATTTAGAATTCTAAGATCACCTTAAGGAAATGAACAAGAGCAAGGATTCCGAATTCTTGTAATCTACCTAGACCTGTCATATGTAAAGTCAATGCCTACATTATGGGATTGGTGCAATGGCAAATCAGGCACTCATATATGCTACGAGGCTCAGGGTTGTGAAAATAAAATAAGCATGTGATACAATAATAAAACCAGCCATCAATCACAATTTATAAACCTTGAATATAAATCATAAATCATATCAAACTTTTGAAAACTCTGAGGAAGTCACCCAATCATCCAACGATTTGTCTGAAACAATCACAACATCTCGCAACCATATTCTCATACACACAATGAAAATTAGAGTTAGAGCGACACAGTTCGGCCGAAGTCTACATCCTTGAAGCTATCTCAATCCAAACTCAATGAAATCCAAGGGGGATGCGATATCGGACCATCACTCAACGGAATCGTGAAGTAAGAGGGATTTCGGACCATCACTCAATGGAATCCAAACCAGGATACGATTCCGGACCATCACTTAATGGAATCACGAAGTGGAGTAGGAAGGATCCCGACCATCACTCAACGGAATCAAAATCAGGACACGACTCCAGACCATCACTCAACGGAATTGTGAAGCACAATGCATAACAACCAATCAATGAAACAACACATGAATCAAGTTACTCAAGTTACAAAGACTCAATGAACGAGAATGAAATAATGACACGAGCGTTGACACATGTTTCGAAGCAACAAACCCCATGACAATGAGTTAACGGTCCACTAGTAGCCCTTACCTTTCATTAAATCAAGCCAATCATACAAAACAAACCATATTTCCAATATGCACGTCAAATCCCACTTCATATGACTACATTGATGGCTAAATGTAAAAAATTACAATTTATAAGAAACATGATTATAAAACCATCATATATTAAAGTCACTTACATTTCATCATATCATACCATCTATGCACATCAACCACCTTTTGAATATGCACATCAATCACATATCACTATCATCATCAGTACAAAAGCCAAATCATGTTTAATAACATAGATCTATGGCTAAATATATATATAATCACATTTCAATAGAAATCACATTATAAAACCAATTCATATTCACAGATGATACCAATATAAGAAATCAAGGTAATAACCATCTTACATACTTAAAAACTCTCATATGTCTCCCACAACAACATTTAATGAGGGATCGAACCGTCGTTCTGAGGTAGGGTCCATGATCTTACGTCACTTGCTTCGTAAGATCCAATCACTAGATTTTCACTAGTAAGTTCCTAAGGTCCTTAAACAATATCTACCATTGCATACTAAAATTTAGTGTCAATTCAATGGTAAGATCGTCAATTGTTAGAATAATCAAGTGGCAGACCTTATCGATAATATATTCAACCAACAGCATTTTCATAAATCGAATGTCACACAAAGGGAACCCTGAGGTGGATGTTCTTTAATTTGACCTCCTTGGTGTTCCAACGTCCCCACAACCTGTTGGGTCTTGTTCCTGAGTCCAATGGGAGTTGAATAAGGGTGGTGGTGGGTGGTGAAACTCACCGGAATGGCGGAATCGCCGTCGAGCACCTCCGGTGCTCCGGTGGAGTTCCTCATGATTTTGGGCCTAAAAACCCTCAAATTTGAGTGGAGGTGGTAGAGGAGAGGTTATGGAGTAGTTTTTAGGTGTTGGATAAGTGAATTTCCCCTGAAAAATGGCAGAAATTGACCGGAATTAGAACCGGATCGAAATCGGTTTTGTCGTGAGTGTGGTCAACGGGAAGAGGGAGGTCACTCCCCCCCCCCCCCCTTTTTTTTTCTTTTTCTTTTTTCTTTCTATTGGCTGCTGCCTATCCATCCCCCCCTCCAAAAAAAAAACATCTGATTCGTCCCCTCCCTCTTTTAACTAATTGGCTCCTTAACCCAAATATCTGATTGCCCTCTTACCCACAAAGTGAGAATTAATTAATTCCTAAAATCTATAGTATCACAACTTCAAACGTTCGTAATTATACCGTTATAATCCGGACTTGCAAACAGTTTTCGCCTACACTCCCGAAAACCAATCCATTGATAGTTCTCCCAACACCAAGCAGAAGGAGAGCTTGGACTTTCTCTCGGACGAACTCAACGAGTAAATAATAACTTTCCAAACTTCACTCTGTAACTAGTTTAGTTAAAATCTAAATTCAAACAATTTAAAATAAATTCTCGAGAAATAATATAAAATCTCAATAATACAAATACGTAGATTATAACAATGAAATCCAGGAACGGGATTTCACAATTTAGGTGCGAACATTTTAGTTCACCAGTTCAGTAAAATATATTATGGTACAAACGTTTAGGTACACTAAAAAGGAAGTTAAATAAAATCAAAGAATTAAAATGTGTATAATAATAAATTTAAAATTTAATGTAGAGACATTAAATAAGAATTTTTATTTTTTTTTTGAGAAAATAAGATATCTATTAAATATGAAAACAAAAATATAATATGAATTTGAATTAAGTACATATTAAATGACTAAAATTTTTATTAAATTTTAATCTTCTTCAAGGATTAAAATTCAAAAGCCCCTAATTTAAATAAGATTTAAAGTGGACTGTTATGCTTGATAGTGTAATCACCTAGAAGATTCATCTGTCATTTTGATTAACCAACCATGTCCACAAGAATGCAATACCTAATTTGAAAAGTCAGGAATAGATAATGGTCCAACTAAAACTTGTTTTGGATACATACCTAAAAGCTTAGGGTCAAAGTTGGAGGGGAAAAGATCTCTATATAAGGCGTAGATAGGTACTCAAAGTTCTTACACTCAATTAATCTTGTCATCCCCCAGATTAATTGTCATCACCCAAGTTTGCTTTCTGCATTTGTTTCCGGTTCATAATAGTACTTACCGTTTCGTTCCTACGTACCCTTCCTTGTGCCGACTATCATTCATAATATGCCTTCGTTTTCTCAAATGGAAAGAGCAAGATCATTTCTTCAGTCTCCCACTTATGGAAACCTCGTCACTGTCCTTAGCATTGACGGAGGTGGTATCCGAGGGATTATCCCCGGAACTATACTCAGCTTCCTAGAGTCTGAGCTTCAGGTATAAATATCAATTTAAACCCATAATTTAACTTCAAATTAAAAATGTTAAACGTCACTTTAATTTAATCTCAAGCACAACATATGCTTGCACATTCGAACTAACCTTTGCTTTAATTTGTTGGCCATATGCAGAAGCTGGATGGTGAAGATGCAAGGCTGGCAGATTACTTTGATGTAATTACAGGGACTAGCACAGGTGGACTTGTGACTGCCATGCTTACTACCCCAGATGAAAATAATCGTCCCTTGTTTTCTGCTAAAGATATTAACGCTTTCTACCTCGAACACTGCCCGAAAATCTTCCCCCAGGGCAGGTACCTACTTAATTACAATCTTAACTTGAAATCTGTTTGAAACGGATCTTGCATGCGTTGAGAATGAATTCTACAATGATGGGAGAAGACACCTTGCCTAGGTTTTAAGTGAGCTGAGCTACTCACTATATTGCTAATTAGTTTTATAGTAGAACCCAATTTTTTTTCATCAGAGTAGGAGGAAGGACCTTGCATGGACTTATAAGTAATTAAATTGAGTCACTCCATATTGCCAATTGATTTTACAATGAAATCACAACTTTTTTCAATTGCTTCTTATAAGCTTATCGACTTTTTTCATTCGTTAATCCTTTCTTTCTGCTTCTTTTCCTTCCTATATTTCTACACTTGCTAACAGTCAGATAATCTTTTTTTTTTTTTCTTCAGCGCTCCACTAATTGGTGAAGCCGTGGATATGGTTAAAAATTTGACAGGACCAAAATATGATGGGAAATATTTACATAATATAGTGAAGGAAAAATTAGGAGACAAACGATTGAACGACACATTGACTAACGTTATAATCCCAACTTTTGATATAAAGCGGCTCCAACCAACCATCTTTTCCAGCTATGAGGTTGGTTAATTTTTTAATACTCTCTCTTGGAATAATTTTGTGAAAAAGTTTGCTCTTTCTCTACATATATATTTAATGTGTGTGTATGTTGTTGATTTTAGGCCAAGAAGAAGAGTTGCGTAGATGCTTTACTCTCGGACATATGTATTGCAACTTCAGCAGCACCAACCTACCTTCCAGCACATCATTTTGAAACCAAAACTTCCACTGGTGAAACAAGAGAGTTCCATCTCATTGATGGTGGTGTCGCTGCTAATAACCCGGTAAACATTAATACGTAGTTTCCATAGTTAAAATATGGATAAGACTAATTCGTTATTAAAAACTGGACTGTTAGAATTTTGAATTTTCATGGGAATACCTATCTCGGAATCCAATCTAAACACCTATATTTTATGTAAAAGATATATTTATCTATTCATGACAATATAATTACCAACTAGCACTACGATTTCCTCTAATTAAATTTGTTCATTTCTCAGGCTTTGGTTGCCATAAACGAAGTCACGAAGGAAATCCACCAGGGAAATTCCGACTTCAACTTTTCCACGAGACCAACTGAGTATGGTCGGTTCTTAGTTGTATCGTTGGGTACTGGTTCTGCAAAATGTGAGGAGAAGTACCATGCCAATGACGTAGCTAAATGGGGTCTTTTGGCATGGTTGACAAGCGGAGGTTCTTGTCCACTCATCGATGTATTTACCCAAGCCAGTAGTGACATGGTTGATTTTCACCTTGCCACTGTTTTCCAAGCTCTTAACTGTGAGAAAAGTTATCTTCGAATCCAGGTATATATACATCGATCTTTCTATGTATGTTTAAAATACTTACACTTTCACAACAGAGCATACTTATATTGCTATATAAATCAATTATATGCTGAAAAAATATTTACGTGAGTAAAATTTATGTTTGTAGGATGATACATTGGAAAAGACAGTGTCTTCAGTAGACATTGCTACGAAGGAAAACTTGGATAATCTTGTGAAAGTCGGAGAGAATTTGCTGAAAAAGCCTGTTTCAAGGGTGAATATGGATACCGGTGCCTTTGAACCTGCCCATCAATCTACAAATGAAGAGGCTCTCGTAAGGTAATATATAATTTAATCATCATTCACCACATATTTCCACTATATACGTATTTTAGCATGATCATATATGTAATACTATTGATTAAAAATTGCTAATTACTATTTGTTTTCTTGACTAATAATTAATCTTCATGTGCTGCAGGATTGCTGGAATTCTGTCTCGGGAGAGGAAGGTCCGTGAAACGCAATCACCACATGGAAAGGCCGTAACCAACAAGTCCAACTGATGATCAAGCTGCTTTCTCTCACAAACACTTAGTATTCCCTTTAATAAAATTCAATTTTTATTTGGAAGATTAATCAATTCATTTGAGATAAAATAAAGCACTATATAGAAAAATAATTAACCATATGGTGAAATTATTGCTAATTAGTTACTCTTGTAATTCAGTACTGAAATTCAATATTTTCTCTCCCAATAAATACCACTGGGCTTCTTGGTTTTGATTATTTTTTCATCTTGTAATTTTTGATTCGGTTATGAATTTTTTTTCTTCGACAGTTATCAAGGTTTTGTATTCCTTCCCTTTTTTTTTTCTCAGTCCCCTTAACTCTCTTCCGAAAAGAAAAAAAATAATAATAAATACTCACCCCTATTTAATTTTTTTTAGCCTTTCGCACTGTAAATAAAAATGTGCAGGACACTAAAAAAAGTGTGTGAAAATCACCTCCTAACAATAATAATATTATATATAATTAAAAAAGTTGAAACAACAATATGGCTAAGAGCCATATATAACCAAATTATGCAGAGTTTAATTAACTATCCCCAACATTGCCAATTGACTAAAGTTTGAACAGTTCCGACCAAAGTATAAATTTTCCTTTTCTGTTACGTAATATTCTCAGACTTTTATGTTTTTGTTTCATTGGTTTTGTTACTTGCTGGAACGAAAAATCAATCTTTAAAGTCTCTTTCGCGGGTGTTCTTTATGTAAACAATAATTAATTAAGAGTATTTTGCTTATAATTGTGGACTTTGCTGGTAAGAGTTATACAAGTAGACAGACTCATCAAGCTTGGACCATAGCTTGACCAAATGGTCAAATATGCATGCTCCTCCAACCGTTCCAAACGCTCACGTATGTCACATCCAACTTTTCAAAACTTTCTTTACGAATCGAATTTTATCGGCGAGAGTGGCTAGGCATGATTAAATTAAACCACATATGAGTGAAAAAAATATAATTAACCTTGCTTTCATAAGAAAGACAATTATGTAGCAATCTTGTGATTTGGTCAAATATGCATGCTCCTCCAACCGTTCCAAACGCTCACGTATGTCACATCCAACTTTTCAAAACTTTCTTTACGAATCGAATTTTATCGGCGAGAGTGGTTAGGCATGCTTAAATTAAACCACATATGAGTGAAAAAAATATAATTAACCTTGCTTTCAAAAGAAAGACAATTATGTAGCAATCTTGTGATATATATGTATGTGTGTGTGTGTGTGTGTGTGTGTGTGTAGCAAGAGGGATGAGGAGTTTTTGCATTTCAAAAGAAAATTATATTTTAATTTTTGTTGAAAGTATTTAATTAGATCAATTGATCATATATAGTTTTAAGCCGCAATTGGTTATTGATTAATACTTTGTTTGAATAAGGAAATTTATAATTACGAAGATTATTAGGTAATTTTAAAATGACATAAATAGAAATGACGAAATTTTATTTTTTAGAATTTGTAAATTTTTTGTTTGGTTAACCTAGAAGAACAATGAAATTTGAATATGAATTTTATTTTTTATTTTTAAACTCTCACTCAAAGAAATTTGGAAGTGACACCTATTTACATGGAATTCAAACTTGACAAATGGAGATCCCAAATTCAAATTATTTTTTTCACATAGAAATTCTAAATTTATATGTTTATGATTCAAACAAGGGAATTAGTGCATGTCAAATTATAAATTTATATCTTTTGTCAAAATTTTCGATTTTATTTTCCTCATCCAAACATAGTGGAAGTTTTTTTTTTTTTTTTTTTTTTTTTTTTCTCTTTCGGCAACTTACAATTATTTTGGAAAAGTCATTAAGTTGGCATATACAACACCCGGAAGAAAACTTATTCCAACACAAAAAAGAATCTAAAAGAATAATATCAACAGTATGATGGATCATTTGCCCCCAACTTGATGTTATTACAGCAATTTAATTATCATTCAAATGAATTACCAAAAGAAAAGAGTCATGATTTTTATCCAAAAAACAAAAACGAAAGAATCTTGGCTAGTTTGGTCATAGACTCAGAGGGTGATATATCAGTTAGGCTTTGCAACAGGCGACTTTGCAAGGCGAAGCCACTTCTCTTCAGATAATAGTTTTGCAAACCTGCACAATCACAAATAACAATTTTCTATTACTACAAAAATTTTACCACAGAAACTGTGAAAATTTATATCTGGTTTTGGTAATTGATATGGTGTACCTAGTGAAAGCCTCTTCATTGGACTCGTGTTTTGAAGGCTCGACCCTGCCAGTCTCCAAATTAACCCTAGAAACTGGTTTTTTCAACAGGCCTTCACCCACTTTGAGAAGATCATCCAAATTCTTCTTATCGGCTATGTCCACAGAAGATACTTGTCCAGTTAATGTGTCATCCTGCATTTTTGTTTATTGCATTTAATTGTGTTATTACAATTAGATTAGGAGCCTGTATTGGACTCTTGGCAACTAAAAACTAGAATAGTGTTTGGCAGAAAAACATGGATATGGGTCAAACAAACGCTTTCTAAAGAAGTAGTTGAATTTTTAACAGAATTTTTAACATATTTGTAACAAAAACACCTCTAATAAAATTGCTTCATGAGCAAAAGCTATTCTTACAAAAGAAATTCCAAATGCGCCTAATTAACATAGTGTTTTTTGTATCACTTTTATTGATAATTATGTAGTCAACAATGTAATAGGTAAATGTGATCCCCTAAATGTAGATTCAGATTTCTCATATTTATACAAAGATAAGAAAGTTGCTTACTGTTTAGCATGGTGTTGATCAATATGGTGTTCATTGGTGGGGTTCATGCCCTCCTTTTGGTTTTATGTATGTTCGCCTCTAGTTCTATGTCTTTCTCTATTTATTTGAATAAGAAAGGGGGAAGAGGCGCCAGGCTCTTAGAGAGTGTAGGTACCTTAACCTTTAGGTTTGAGAGTTAGACGCTATGCATTCTACACCGTGTTATATATTAAAAGGAGATAAGGAGATAATATATTGTTTTTTTATTGAACAAATGATGTTATCTGCACTAAGGGAGATGGGAGGTAGGCTAAGCCTCACAGTGGGATAAGAATAATGTGGTTCAAATTTGTTTAGGAGATAATATATCTTAATACTCTATTTAATTAAAAAAATCAATGAAAAATAGTAAATGAAATGTAATAGGGTGACGTAAAGCACGTGCAATGTCCCTCCAATAAAAACCAATTGGCAATATAGAAATTGCCCAACTACTTATAAACACATGTAAGGTCCCTTTTCTTATCAATGTGAGATTTATTTTTTTTTTTTTTGTCGAACCCATCAATGTAAGATTTATTCTCAACAAATAATAACTAATAACTAGTAAAATTAATTAATGTACCTGAATTCGAAGGTAATTATTCTCCGAATGAAGGGCTTAGAAAACCACAGGAAGATGATAATCGACCATATCAGAACTTGATTGACTGAAAACATCAATTACTGGGGTTCCACCACCGCTGGTTAACCAATCTAATAAACCCCACTTGGCAGCAGAATGCGCACGGTATTTGAACTCAGCTTTTGGCGAGCCAGTTCCTAGAGATATCACTAGAAATCGCCCGTAGTTCATGGGCTTTATAGGGAAGAAATCTTCACTCCCACTTATTATTGTCTTTGTCACTTCACCAATTGCAAGTCTGGTCTGGAATAAGACCAAAAATGGAAGTCATTAAATCAACCAAATAAAATTTAACCTATGTCTTAAGTTCGAATTAATTCTTATATATACCGGATTATTTGCAGCCACACCGTGGGTCTATTAAGGTTAAAATCTTTCACATTCCCTTCTGGGTCAATTGTTTCAAAATAGTAAGCTGGGATATAAGTAGGTGCAGCTGAAGTTGCAATGCATACGTCAGAGAGTAAAGCATCAAAGGATGGTTTGCTTTTCACCTAAGCACCCAAGAAAAGCAGATATTAATTCAACTATATATATCCTTTTCCTTTTAGCTATAAACAGGGGTAAAAATAGCAAAACCAACCTCATAGCTGGAAAATGTAGTTGGCCGGAGCTGTTTTATGTCCAATGTGAGAATGACAACATTAGTCAATGTCTGATGCAGTTTTTTAGAACCAAGTTTCTGCCCAACCAAGTCATGCAGATACTTCCCATCATATTTTGGCCCTGATAGGGCTTTGATAATCTTTGACATTTTCAGAAACAGCGGACAACTGTTGTTTAAAACATTAATGTTCATATTAGAAACTGTGAACTATATGCATGCACCCAAACAAGTACAATGTCAGTGCATAAGAATTTGATTCAAAAACTGTGTACTAGCTTCTTGGATAGAGCTCATAAAGTTGGACAAAGTCGGTTCGTATTTAGCCATAAATTGTTTACTAATCTCTGTGAAATAATTGCAAAATGGTAGGTGAGACTCCAAGCATGAGACTAGTTGGTTATAATGTGAAGCCATATTGGAGGGTTAATAAACAAGGCGCTAAGTTTGGCCAAAGCCAAACCCCGTGATATGCTCATGAACTGCATACCCTTAAAGCAAACCTCCATACGCATATGCAGCTAATACTTTAAGCTTATTATTAAGATTATCAAGCTCTTCTGTGCGGCTGCGTACAATGAAGCCACATGATGTAATATTCCTTGTCAAAGGGCCACTAGCTAGAAAAAACTTTACGCGTTATATATAATTTGATTCGTATAAGGCGGCGACGCACATTAGCAGTAACTTAAGAAGGTCAATTTGAAGGCCAAAAGTTGCTGGTGTGATTGATCTATTGACCAAATGCAAAGCACTTGTAAGAAATCAAAAATTGGTCTACCATTCAATTATGTCTGCATATAACTTCAACTTGATGGTAAAGTGAATGCTGCATACTTTAATCAAGTTGTATATTGTCATGAGTTTTTCGTGTACTTTGATCAAGGGCGTATGTAGTATTTTGTTGTCCTGTCAGTAACCTTATACTCGGTAATACCAAAATCATTGTTTGATTCTAATGCTCCTGTCAACAAGGAAGAGGAAAATATTTTAGTTCAGTTTTTTCATACCATGTATCACATTTCAGAAAATAAAATTTTCCACAAAATTTTCCCGCATAATTAAATGTGCCCTGCAGTAACTTGGAGGTATATGCTTCTCTTTTAGTATACCACATGACTGGTATACCTAAATTTGGCTCCAATATAACTGAAGCGAAAATTAACTTACCAGTTAATTTTTTCTGAACTTACTGAAGTGGTGGTTCAAAACTACAAGTTGTGAGTGGTAGAAATTTCAGTTGTTTTTAGAGCATATACTGTACATACATATTTAAAACCATTGTGTATATAAGCACACTACACCGCAGTGAGTTGGATGAACTTTATAAAGAAAATATTGAAGAGCAAAGAATCACAATGACTCTGTTAGAGGATTTGTTCGACAAGATTTGAAGGATGCAAAAATAAATCATAAGATTGCAGTATGTTCATAAGATTGATGAGTCTGCAATATTTCTCCAACATATAAGCTGTTTTGTTTGCTATACTCCAATCATTTACTGAAGAAAAAACAAGTGCAACTATGCGCAGATCAGTGAAAAACTGAAATTCAATGACTAAAACGGATCGACAAGACTCCGATGTAACAAATTCTAAGACAGTCAATTGGATAGAAAGCTGAGCTTAAGAATAAGCTGCAACTAGCCTCACATTGCTGACCTTGATTTGTACTGCTGCTCACGAGTCATGATGCGGCAGGTGTTGAATAATATAAAGTCCCACGTCAGAAATCTTTCAAAATAATTTTCAATTTATCTCAAGTGGTTCCACTACTACTTGTACTGAAAACTAACACCTGCTGGACTGTACAAGCCATGTGGTTAAGTTAAGGACAATATTGATGTTGATTAGTAGTGGGTCGCTGAACTGCCTCTCTGAAACTGCAGGTTTTGTTAAGAACCAATAGGAAAACCATCGCTAGTGACTCATCTACAATGCTTTAAAAATGCTGTTAAAAAACAAAAGAAGGCCATCCCTAGTGCTCCATGTTCAATGTTTTACTGATCATTATGTTTAAATGATTTAAGTTTTGTTCATGTCAGATGCCGTGCTTAATTTGGGGGTGTTCATTTGAAACAAAAAAGGAAGCCTGTGCTTTCTGACTGACTGCTTCATATACATTGATGCCAAGAAAAACCAGTTCTTCTTCCCATGGGATTGTTCATTGTACTATAAAAAATGCTCTAAATTAGTTAGTGCAAACCCTAGAGGCCAAGATAAATGGTGGCCAACATTCTTCTTTTACCAAATATAATATGATTCACTTAATATTTAAAGTCTCTGCACAGTTAACCTATACTTGTGGACTTGTTGGTAAAAGTCACATTCGAACTTTAGTAATACAAAATTATAATAGTACTGTGTCATTCCAACTGACCAAATAGTCAAGCTAATTTGTCACAACGTTTTCAACGGTGATGCATACTATTCTGCCCCCTTTACAGAAAAAAACCCCTCAACCAACAAGCAACAAAGTGCCAAACGAGAAAAGTTCTTAAAGTTGAATGTTATAATTAATATCACTATATCTAGAAATAAACTAAGAAGAGTTGGCGAAGTAACGGCTGTTTTTATCGAAAGATGTCCAAGAGGCCGGTCTGGCCACATGTATGTGCATAATATAAACAGAAATATTGGCAAGTTGACTCAGAATTTTTTTTTTCCTTGGAATACTTTGAAGTTTAATGATGAATCACAACATAATAATAGTTGAACTAAGGAATACATTTACCACCCCACGGGGGATTTATTCGATTACATAAAGAATATTAAAGAATCTAGTATGTTGGATCAAAGGATCATTAGCTGTGTACACAAAGATTAAAATGTGTTTTTGATGATCAGTTGGGTTTTGCAGTACATTAACCATGTGGCGACTTTGCAAGACGAAGCCTCTTCTCTTCAGAAAGTAGTTTTGCAAACCCGCAAAAGCATTAAGTGACAATGTATAAAATGTGGATGAGTTATAAATCAGAGCAATATTAGCATATAGATTGTGGAGATATATATTATGATTAATATATGATCTGTATACCTTATAAGAGTTTCTCCATTAGTCTCATGATTACAAGCTTCAAATTTCCCCGTCTCTAAATTAACCCTAGAAAGTAGAAACAGGTTGTTTCAATAGGCCTTCACCAACATTCACAAGATTGTCCAAATTCTTCTCTGTTGCTATATCTACAGAAGATACGTCCCCATGCAGCTTGTCACCTGCATATTATTTTTTTTTTCATTCAAATGTATTTGTTAATAAATCTGAACCTTCAATCTTAGTCTCAACTCCATTATTTTATGATGTTCTTAGTCGAGTAGAGAGAATTAATTAATACCTAAATTCGAAGGTAGTTTTTCTCAGAGTGAAGGGCTTGGAAAACCACAGAGGGGTTAAGATCAACCGTATCAGCACTTCCTTGACTGGAAACATCAATGATCGGTGTCGAGCTTCCGCTGGTTAACCAATTCAATAAGGCCCATTTAGCGGCATTATTCCAAGTTTTTTCCCCTCATTCAAACATAGAGAAAGTTTTTTTTCTTTCAGCAGCTTACAATTATTTTGGAAAAGTCATTAAGTTAGCATATCCAACACCCGGAAGAAAACTTATTCCAACACAAAAAAGAACCTAAAAGAATAATCTATGTTATTGTTCTTGAAAATTCTGAGATATAAACTTCTAATTCAAAGAAGGAATGATGATCTAAGAAGAAGAAGAAGATAAGAGTGGTTTGCAAAAGTCTGATTTTGATATTCTCTTCTCTGCAAATTAGCAGAGGAATTTTTACGTTTCATTCACACTGAAAACATGAGGCTGCAACAATATATGCTCAGTATCCCAGTTAGTTACACAGCTGGAATTTTCACAATTACAACCAAATGATCTCAGCCACTCATTCGATCATAACCTAGGATTCTCACAATGGCATTCATAGCCTTACATCATTTTGCCTTACACTTGTCAATATTCTAGATTAAGTGAATACACAATTTAAGAAAAGGCTTATTTCTAAAACAGCTCACAATAAACAGTATGATGGATCATTTACCCCCAACTTTTATTACAACAATGTAATTATCATTCAAATTAATTACCAAAACAAAAGAGTTATGATTTTTATCAAAAAAAAAAAAAATCAAAAACGAAAGAATCTTGGCTAGTCTGGTCATTGTTTAATTAGGCCTTGCGGCATGTCCAACAGGCGACTTTGCTAGGCGAAGCCACTTCTCTTCGGATAATAATTTTGCAAACCTGCAAAATAGCAAGTAACAACTTTCTATTACTACAAAAAATTTACCACAGAAATTGTGGAAATTTAAATCTGGTTTGGGTAATTGATATGGTGTACCTAGTGAGAGCCTCTTCATTGGACTCGTGTTTTGAAGGCTCGACCCTGCCAGTCTCCAAATTAACCCTAGAAACTGGTTTTTTCAACAGGCCTTCACCCACTTTGAGAAGATCATCCAAATTCTTCTTATCGGCTATGTCCACAGAAGATACTTGTCCAGTTAATGTGTCATCCTGCATTTTTATTTATTCCATTTAATTGTGTTATTACAATTAGATTAGGAGCCTTTCTTGGACTCTTGGTAACTAAAAACGCTTATAATAGTGTTTGGCAAAAAAAAACATGGATATGGGTCAAACAAACGCTTTCTGAAGAAGTACTTGAATTTTTAACAAAAATTTTAACATATTTGTAACAAACACCCTAATAATAAAACTGCTTCATGAGCAAAAGCTATTCTTACAAAAGAAATTCCAAATGCGCCTAATTAATGTAGTGTTCTTTGTATCACTTTTATTGATAATTAAGGTAGTCAACAATGTAATTAGTAAATGTGATCGACTATATGTAGATTCAAATTTCGCATTTTTATATAAAGACAAGAAAGTTGCTGACTGTTTGGCATGGTGCTGCTGATCAATACGATGTTCATTGGTGGGGTTCATGCCCTCCTTTTGGTTTTGTTTATGTTCCCCTCTAGTTCTATGTCTTTCTCTATTTATTAGAATAAGAAAGGGGGAAGAGGCGCCAGGCTCTTAGAGAGTGTAGGACAGGTGAAGGTTTGAGAGTGAACGCTATGCATCCTACACCGTGTTAATAAAATGAGATAATATATTGTATTTTTATTGAACAAATGATATTATTTATACTAAGAGGGAGGAGGTAGGCTAAACCTCATAATGAGATAACAATAATGTGGTTCAAATTTGTCTAGGAGATAATATATCTTAATACTCTATTTACTTAAAAAAAATCAACAAAAAATAGTAAATGGAATGGGGTGACGTAAAGCATGTGCAAGGTCCCTCCAATAAAACCAATTGACAATATGGAAATTGCCCAACTACTTAAATATATGCAATGTTTCTTCTTCCGTCAATGTGAGATTTATTCTCAACAAGTAATAACTAATAACTGGTAAAATTAATTAATGTACCTGAATTCGAAGGTAATTATTCTCCGAATGAAGGGCTTGGAAAACCACAGAAAGATGATAATCGACCATATCAGAACTTGATTGACTGAAAACATCAATTATTGGGGTTCCACCACCGCTGGTTAACCAATCTAATAAACCCCACTTGGCTGCAGAATGCGCACGGTATTTGAACTCAGCTTTTGGCGAGCCAGTTCCTAGAGATATCACTAGAAATCGCCCATAGTCCATGGGCTTTATAGGGAAGAAATCTTCACTCCCGCTTATTATTGTCTTTGTCACTTCACCAATTGCAAGTAAAGTCTGAAATAAGACCAAAAATAATGTTGGAAGTCATTAAATCAACCAAATAACATTTAACCTATCAGAAAAAGTCGTAAGTCGAATTAATTCTTATATATACCGGATTATTCGCAGCCACACCGCCATCTATAAGGTTAAAGTCTTTTACATTCCCTTCTGGGTCAATTGTTTCAAAATAGTGTGCTGGTAGATAAGTAGGTGCAGCTGAGGTTGCAATGCATATGTCTGAGAGTAAAGCATCAAATGATGGTTTACTTTTCACCTAAGCACCCAAGAAAAGCAGATATTAATTCAACTATATTTATCCTTTTCTTTTTTGCTATAAACAGGGGGAAAAATAACAAAGTAACAAACCTACCTCATAGCTGGAAAATATAGTTGGCTGGAGCTGTTTTATGTCAAATGTGGGAATGACAACATTAGTCAATGTCTGATGCAGTTTTTTAGAACCAAGTTTCTGCCCAACCAAGTCATGCAGATACTTCCCATCATATTTTGGCCCTGATAGGGCTTTGATAATCTTTGTCATTTTCGGAAACAACGGACAACTGTTGTTTAAAACATTAATGTTCATATTAGAAACTATATATGCAGGAAGAGAATTATTTTCTTTGTTAAGAACAATATGTTCTGTGTCAATATTCTAAAAATTTGACATAAAGATGTGAACATTACTGTTTCTGGGGGAATATTTTGGGGCAGTGAGTGAGGTAGAAATCCTTAATATCCTTGGCAGCAAACACAGGGCGGTTGTTGTCATCTGGGGTAGCAAGCATTGCAGTCACAAGACCACCGGTGCTTGTTCCTGCAATCACATCAAAATAGTCGGCGATTCTTGCATCCTCACCATCCAACTTCTGCAACATGATCAATGAAATTCGACATTTAGTACTTAATGTGAAACATTATATAATTTAGCAACTATTCTATGACATGCAATTAATAAGGATGCATATGAATACGAGATTGAATATCCTAGCTACCTGAAGCTCAGATTCAAGGTAACCAAGAATGGTTCCTGGGATAAGTCCTCTTATTCCACCCCCATCAATGCTGAGAATCGTTATTAAGTTTCCGTAAGTTGGGGCCTGTAATGGTATACTCTTGGTTCTGTCCATGAGACTTTCAGAGATAGAGAAAGAGAGAAAGAGAGAGAGAGAGAGAGAGAGAGAGATGGATTCTAGAAGAGGCTTTAAGCAAATATATAGCCTGACTGTTTTGGTGAGTTAGCCTTTGAGGGTACCGGGGTACTTATAGACTCCTCTTCATTAAGTTTCCAAGAATATCAACCAAGTTACTGGATCATATGCATGCATGCACCAAAACAAGTACAATGTCAGTGGATAAGAATTTGATTATTCAAAAACTTTAGAGTAGCTTCTTGGATACAGCTCATCAAGTTGGACAAAGTTGGTTCGTATTTAGTCATAAATTGTTGACTAACCTCTGTGAAATAATTGCAGAATAGTAGGTGAGACTCCAAGCAAGAGACTAGTTGGTTATAATCTGAAGCCATATTGGAGGGTTAATAAACAAGGCACTGAGTTTGGCCAAATCGAAACCCCATGATACGCTCATGACGCGCCTACCCTTAAAGCAAACCTCCATTAAGCATGCAGCTAAATACTTTAAGCTTATTATTAAGATTATCAAGTTCTTCTGTGCGGCTTCGTACAATGAAGCCACATGATGTAATATTCCTTGTCAAAGGGCCACTAGCTAGAAAAAATTTACGCGTTATATATAATTTGATTCGTATAAGGCGGCGATGCACATTAGCAGTAACTTAAGAAGGTCAATTCGAAGGCCAAAAGTTGCTATTGTGGTTTAATCTATTGGCCAAATGCAAAGCACTTGTAAGAAATCAAAAATTGGTCTACCATTCAATTATGTCTGCATATAACTTCAACTTGATGGTAAAGTGATGCTGCATAATTTAATCAAGTTGTATATTTTCATGAGTTTTTCTTGTACTTTGATTAAGGGAGTATGTAGTATTTTGTTGTCCTGTCAGTAACCTTATACTTCAGTCATACCAGAATCATTGTATGATTCTAATGCTCCTGTCAACAAGGAAGAGGAAAATATTTTGGTATCTGTTTTTTCATACCATGTATCACACTTTCAGAAAATAAATTTTTCCACAAAATTATCCAGCTTAATTAAATGTGCCCTGCAGTAACTTGGAGGCATATGCTTCTCTTTTAGCATACCACATGACTGGTATACCTAAGTTTGGCTCCAATATAACTGAAGCGAAAATTAACTTACCAGTTAATTTTTTCTGAACTTGCTGAAGTGATGATTCAAAACTAGATGTTGTGAGTGGTAGAACTTCCAGTGGTTCATAAATATTTAAAACCATTGTGTATATAAGCACACTATGCCGCAGTGAGTTCAGTGAATTTTATAAAGAAAATATTGAAGAGCGAAGAATCACAATGACTCTATTAGAGGATTTGTTCGACAAGATTGAAGGATGCAAAAATAAATCATAAGATTGCAGTATGTTCATATGATTGATGAGTCTGCTCCAACATATAAGCTGTTTTGTTAGCTATACTCCAATCATTTACTGAAGAAAAAACAAGACCCAACTATGTGCAGATCAGGGAAAAACTGAAATTCAATGAAGAAAACGGATCGACAAGACTCCTGATGTAACAAATTCTAAGACAGTTAATTGGTTAGAAAGCTGAGCTTTAGAATAAGCTGCAACTAGCCTCACATTGCAGGCCTTGATTTGTACTGCTGCTCATGAGTCATGATGCGGCAGGTGTTGAATAATATGAAGTCCCACGTCAGAAATCTTTCAAAATAATTTTCAACTTATCTCAAGTGGTTCCACTACTACTTGTACTGAAAACTCACACTTGCGGGACTGTACAAGCCATGTGGTTAAGTTAAGGACAATATCGGTGTTGTAAGTAGTGCTGACCCGCCTCTCTGAAACTGCAGGTTTTGTTTAAGAACCAAAAGGAAAGCCATCCCTAGTGATTCATCTACAATGCTTTAAAAATGCTGTTAAAAAAACAAAAAGAAGTCCATCCCTAGTGCTCCATGTTCAATGTTTTCTTGATCATTATGTCTAACTGATTAATTTTTGTTCATGTCAGATGCTGTGCTTTGGGGGCGTTCATTTGAAACAATAAAGGAAGCCTGTACTTTCTGACTGACTGCTTCATATATATTGATGCCAAGAAAAACCAGTTCTTCATCCCATGGGATTGTTCATGGTACTATAAAAAATGCTCTAAATATATAATATGATTCACTTAATTTTTGAAGTCTCTGCACAGTTAAACTAAGCTTGTGGACTTGTTGGTAAAAGTCACATTCCAACTTGACTAATACAAAATTATATTAATACTGTCTCATTCCAACTGACCAAATAGTCAAGCTAATTTGTGACAACGTGTTCAACAGTGATGCTTCTACTATTCTGCCCATGCAACATGCCCTTTACAGAAAGAAAAAAAAAAAAAAAAACCCTCAACCCTTTTGTTTAAACAACAAGCAACAAAGTGCCAAACGAGAAAAGTTCTTAAAGTTGAATGTTGTAATTAATCACTATATCTAGAAATAAACTAAGAAGAGTTGGTGAATTTATGGCTGTTTTTATCGAAAGATCTCCAAGAGGCCGGTCTGGGTACATGGATGTGCATAATATAAAACAGAAATATTGGCAAGTGGACTCAGAATTTTTTTTTACTTGGAATACTTTGAATTTTATTGATGAATCACTACATAATGATAGATGAACTAAGGAATACATTTACCACCCCACAATAGGAGATTTATTCGATTACATAAAGAATATTAAAGAATCTAGTATGTTGGATCAAAGGATCATTAGCTGTGTACACAAAGATTAAAATGTGTATTTGATGATCAGTTGGGTTTTGCAGTACATTAACCATGTGGCGACTTTGCAAGACGAAGCCTCTTCTCTTCAGAGAGTAGTTTTGCAAACCTGCAAAATCATAAGTCACAATATTTAAAATGTGGATGAGTTATAAATCAGAGCAAATATTAGCATATAGATTGTGGAAATATATATTATGATTAATAAATGATCTGTATACCTTATAAGAGCTTCTTCATTAGTCTCATGATTACAAGCTTCAAATTTGCCCGTATCTAAATTAACCCTAGAAACAGGTTGTTTCAATAGGCCTTCACCAACTTTCACAAGATTGTCCAAATTCTTCTCTGTTGCTATATCTACGGAAGATACGTCCCCACGCAGCTTGTCATCCTGCATATTCTTATTCTTATTATTATTATTATTATTATTATTATTATTATTATTATTATTTTCATTTAAATGTAATTTGTTAATAAATCTGAACCTTCAATCTTAGTCTCGACTCCATTATTTTATCATGTTATTAGTCGAATAGAGAGAATTAATGTATACCTGAATTCGAAGGTAGTTTTTCTCAGAGTGAAGGGCTTGGAAAACCACGGAAAGGTTAAGATCAACCATATCAGCACTTCCTTGACTGAAAACATCGATGATCGGTGTTGAGCCTCCGCTGGTTAACCAATTCAATAAGCCCCATTTAGCTGCATTATGTGCACTATATTTCAATTCAACTTTTGATGAGCCAGTTCCTAATGATATGACTAGATATCGTCCATAGTCCATAGGTTTGATAGGAAAGAAGTCCGGGCTCCCCTTGATTATTTGCTTTGTCACTTCACCAATAGCAACTAAAGTCTGAAAATTGTCTTGAAGTTATTTTGCTGAACAATATTATTATAAAAGAATTTAATATTCGTTATTTGATGCATTTATAATATGTACCGGATTATTTGCAGCCACCCCACCATCGATAAGGTTGAATTCTCTAACATTTCCGTTGTGGTCTTTGGTTTCAAAATAATGAGCTGGAAGATAAGTTGGTGCTGCTGAGGTTGCAATGCATATGTCTGAGACTAAGGCATCAAAAGGTGGCTTATGTTTCGCCTGATCGAGCACCCAAGAAAAGTGGATGTTATAACTCAGCAACAAACATATATGTACAACAAGGCATGTAAAGGTAAAATTAAACCTTGAGAAGAAACTAAGGCGGTGAAGAGGAGAAAGTGAACCTCAAAGCTAGAAAATATTGTTGGCTGGAGATTCTTTATGTCGAATGTAGGAATGACAACATTAGTCAATGTCTGGTGCAGCTTTTTTTCACCAAGCTTTTGCCTAACCAAGCTATGTAGATACTTCCCATTGTACTTTGGTCCTGTTAGACGTTTGATAATCTTTGCAATTTGAGGAAACAACGAACGACTATCAATTGAAACATTAAACTAAGATTAGTAACCAGGAAGTATTTTTATCCAAAAATGTTGCAATATGCAAATTAGCAGGGCCGTCCTTGAGATTTTGGGAGCCCTGTGCGAAATTTATAAAAGCGCATCTCCTTAAGATAGTCTTAAAAAATGTAGAACAATGTATTGACGATGGAAAACAATCACTTAAATCAAAATAAAGTTTAGCACTCACTAATTGCAAGTTTAGAAATGTCATTAATAATAAGTAAAAAGAGCTACAAACATAATGTTCACTAAATAATCAAAAGTAGTTCAATCCTAAATAACCAAACAAAAAACAAACTTCAAAAACTATAACTTTAAAGTTTCACTTGAATATGTAACATTATTATATAATAATATTGAAAAAATACCGTCTTTTAAGTATTCTTATTGTACTCTAAATTTTTATATGTAGAAAAAAAAATTACGCATGTAAAGAGTATAAAATGAGATTTTAAAGTGCTAACAAAATCAATTTTTGAATATAGAACAGTATTTCATAACAAAAGCAATTTTAATATAGAATATTATTAAATATAAATATTAGGTGACAAAAATTTTGAGGGCCCCTTCAAATTTGGGGCCCTGTGCGACTGCACTTTTCACACCCCCTCAACGCCTTTGAAATTAGTATGTAAACATTACGTTTTCTGGGGGAAGATTTTAGGGCTCTCGGTAAGGTAGAAGTCCTTTATATCTTTGGCAGCAAATAAAGGACGGTTATTTTCATCTGGAGTAGTTAGCATGGCAGTCACAAGACCACCAGTACTTGTTCCCGAAATCACATCAAAATAGTCGGCAAGTCTTGCATCCTCACCATCCAGCTTCTGCAACATGATCCATAACATAAATATAGATAAGTAATTAAATTGATATATGACATTAGATCCTTTTGCAACAGTT